GCCTTTGGTCCCATGTCATTTGGATTTACCAATCTCAAGTTATGGCCTTTGACTCAAAGTGCACTTTTGTTGACTTTTGAATTTGACCTATAATGTAGAAATTGATAACTTTTTGTGAGAGCATTTCTTGGACTTGGAATGTGAAGATGGATTATAGGAAATGTCATCCCCTTCAAAATGAGCATTGGATGGGATTTTTCTGACAAACCATGAAAAAGTTATGCCCTGGTCAAGATACAGTTGACTTTTCTACTGTCCAAAAATAGTAACTTTTTGCACCTTGATGATTTTTGAGCTATTCTTGTGGAATCATGATCAAGACTTGATCAAATGATGATTGTGAACTCAAAATAATATGTTGACCAAAAATTCTGACTTTTGACTGCAAAATGCCCATTTTGCCCTTGCAGTTGATTGTAGGTCAAATGGAGCTTTTGACTGTGCAAATTGGCACTGTGAGTCTTGAAACTTGGCATGTAGGTGCTTGAGAATGTATATAGGCCTATGAGACTTGATTGAACCATTGAAAACCCCAAATTCCTTGAAAGAACCAAAACCCTAATTTCAGTTGTCTTAGGAGATGGTTTGACTGTGCACCTTGATTAATCTTGAGCAGTTTGAAAATCAATCTTGACAAATCTTGAGGAATATGGGAGGGAAAATTTTAGGGTACAACACAATGCTTAAACCAAATGGACCATAGCTCAAAAGTTCACAAGTTACAAGGCCTGCAAAGTAAGATTATGCATCACATCATTCCAATTGGATTATGTGTTCTTCAACAAAAATGGCTTGCAATTCAAGAATGAATGCCCAACTTCAGGCCCTTGAATCTCCTAGCTCAAATATGATAAATTCATGCTCTTGGATGTTTTGGAAAGCTTGAAACACCCTCTACAACTTTCATGTTGACCACTTTTGTTAAATCAAACTGGAACTTGATGAAAATTGGCCAAGAAGTTGGGATAAAAACCTAACCAAAACTGCTGAAAATTTCTCTAAGTGTTTATTCAAAAATGCCATGACTTCATTAATTTATAACTTAAAATCCAAGCATTTCTAGAAAAAGTCCCTCTCTACATTGTTTTAGATCTCATTGAGATCTACAACTTTCAAGTTGAAAGTTTTCCTTGTATCACTTTGCATCTTGGTGAAAGAGTGGCATGAAGTAATGAAATTATCACGTGTAAAAGACACTTAGAAAAATTTCTCAGTCTTGAAAAGTTTGACTTTTCAAAATGAATTTTGAATTTTTGATTTCTTGATGAACAAGTTTCATATTTTGACATGTTTTGATGAATTGTGATCTTTGATACTTGATTTTGACCAAAAAGTTAAAGTTTGACTTTTCAATGTACAGTTGACTGAAATTCAACTATCAATCAATTGATCTTGAGAAATGTTTTGAGCCATGACACTAGGTAAAAATGAAGTATTTTAATCCTTGAGATCATAACTTAAACCAATAAATCATTTGCTAGGTCAAAATTCAAAAATTGAACCTCCTCAGTCAAAACCCTAATTTTGACAAGTTTGCCCTTTTGATGATCTGATCAAACTTCTTGAGGAATTGTGATACAAACTTGATCAAGTGACATATATGACTTCATGATGTTGATATGGATAAACAATTATGAAGTTTGACTGTAAATTGACCACAGTTGACCTTTTCCCCAATACAACTGATTTTAGGTCAACTAATCAATTGACCGAGCAAAAATGTGATCCAAGACTTGAAACTTGACATGAGAAATCTTGAGAGTCCAAAATGACCCATGAAAGTCATATGGTGCATTAAGATTCCATTTGTCACTGTGCAAACTCAAATCCTAATTTGAGTCATCAGTGCTAGAGGATGTGTCTTGAGCTAATCAAAACTTGTGCAATCTTGAATCAATGGAGATCTTGTAAGAGATAACTTCAGAAATGAGAGGGAAATTTTTAAGGTAGAACACACTGTCAGTTGTACCAAAAGAGGATGAAGAAAGATTTTGACAAGAAGGTTCGTCCTCGAGTGTTCAAAGAAGGAGATTTTGTGCTCAAGAAAATTCTACTACCTCGCCTTGACTCACGTGGTAAATGGACACCCAAGTACGAAGGTTTGTACGTGGTAAAAATAACATTCTCAGGTTGTGTTCTTATCCTTACAACAATGGATGGGGAAGAACTGCCACATCTGATGAACTCCGACGCAGTCAAAAAATACTGTATAAAAATCTTGCTAAGTTCAAACCCTAAACTGGCGACTTCGGAAAAAAAGAGCGTCCCGATAGATTGAAAATCCTAAAGGGGCAGTCCAGGAAAAAATTTAGGTACATAAACAAAAAAATTATCCCGGTGGGTTGAAAACCCGAAAGGGCGGTCCAGGAAAAATTTAGGGATCTTATTCAAAATAAAGAACAAATAGACTGCGATCTGAGAACCACAGATATTTATTCATTTTTTGTATACAAAAAATAAATTCATTCGACGCATAAGGTTTTTTTATTCATTTGAATACTAGAAGCATGGATATTTTGGGTTGTTGCAGACTGGGCCAACAAGTCTTACGGCCCATAGAATAACTAGATAGGAAATAGGTATGTTCTTAAATTGGAGGGCCCATATGTCTTTTTTTGGAGGCCCAATTTTGTTCGCTGAAGTCAATACTTATTCAAATTATTTGCATTATTATTTTATTTTACTATTATTTTCATTAAACCTAATTAACTAATTGTATCTCCGTGTCAACCAAATCCAAACTAGAGTTTTCAACCTACACTCATCTGTGGCGCATTGTTCTTCCACCCAAGCCCAAACGCAGTACCGCAAATCCAGAAACGCTAATCAAAAGAAAAACATATCTAATCGTATCAAATCATGACAATTTCTAAATCAGTTTACAATTAATTTACATCAAAAGCAAATCTCAATCAGAAAATTAAAGCGATTTACAAATCCAATTGTTTACAAAATCGAATCTGATTTTAATCTCTAATCTCTAATATCTAATTCTAAATCCTAATTTCTAACGCAATCCTCAAAAAATAACGACGATCTAACAATTTTCCTAAGATATTCCTATCTAAAAAACCTATAAATAGAGAAGAGATTTGTTACAGAAAAAAAAGGAAAATCTGGAGGAGAAAGTGTGACAGACGAAGAACGAAAGAAGAAGAAGAAGAGTTGAGATTCAGGTTTCAATTTTTGAAACTCTGTATCTGTGGTGACCGACGTCGTCGCCTTCAAGTTCCTCAAATATTCTGCTGTCGCTTTCATTTCCTTGTCGCCGCATCTTCACTGTCGCCGTCATTCTTCATACTTGCAAAACGGAGAAAAAGAGAAGGGGATCAGAACGAGATTGAACCAGAGATTGAAGATTCATGGCCGACGTGGTAAGCTACTTAGCTTTATGTTTTGATTGTTGTGTTTTGGAGGAGATATGGGTTCAGTTGGGAATGCTCTGGGGTGGTCACCGTCGAGACATCACCGATTAGGACTGCACCGCCGTTAGGTTTTTGGTTCATTAGTTTTAGGGTTTGTGTTGTTCAAGAGAAGAGAGACGAGAGAGAAAACAAGAAAGAGAGAAGAAAGGAGAAAATGAAATGAAAATAAAGAAATCAAAAAATATAACTCTCTGTGATCCAGTGCGATGCTCTTATCTTGCACTCTCAACCCACACCCTTTGATCATCATCAAACAACCATAACCTCGCGAGGCCACCGTAACCCCATGATCCCGCCCACGGGAAACTCAAGAGGACCATACTTATTCTGGGCCTCTCATATGAAATCTTGGGCCTAAGGCCCGTGCTATTCACACCCCTGGTTTATTACTCAAAGCTAATATTCGTATCCCCCACAACTTGGACTCAAAACCAACATTGGGCCTAAGTCTTTATTACTCAAACCCCTCTAATTACTGTTTTAGTTCAAATCCATACCCCTATGTGTTTAGGGCCTAAATTCAATATCTGGATCTAAGGCTTGTCTTGTCCACACCCCCCAACATTACTAAGCTTGAATAATTTACAACCCCTGCGCTTTTAAAATAAAATTAATTTATTTACTTTTATAATTTTATTTATTTGTTTGTTTGTTATTCATTACTTTTTTTCTTCATATTAATAAATTATTGGACATTTTTAATATTTAATATATTTTTAATAAATTATAAAATTGTTATTTATTAACCTAAATTCCTTTTTTACTAATTCCTTTTTAAATACTTTAATCGCATCAACTATTTTTATCATGCATTAAAATATATTTCTCATATTGCATAATATATTCCAAAACATATAACCAATTGATTACTAACTTTTTTACTAACCTAAATTCAAACTTATATATATTTTCAAAAAGGATAACAAAGATATTTCTTATTAACTGCGAACTTCGTCTACAAATTCCGCAATTTACAAACTTAGACTTGGTTCAAGGAGAATTCGATATATTTCCATAATCCATAAAAAAAACTAATCAAACAACTACGAACTACGAATTGGGACTCTGATTCCTCATAAGAGGATACGTAGGCATACGACTTAAAATCGTGGCGAGTTCCCCCTAACTAAAAATTAAAACCCTATTCCTAAGCCTTAAACCTAAGCCCTAGTATCCTTGTGAACAAGGTATATGAGAGGATTCTAACACCTTCCCTTTGTCTAAAACGAGTCAACGACTTATAATCTCTGATCAAATTAGGGTTATCCGTTATACTCCCTTACTTAGGATAAAAATTAATGGTGGCGCTCTATTTTTTGCCGGTTATTACAGATACAACGTCAAGTGCTTTTTCTACTTAATCAAATATTTTCATAATCAATGAAACACTTGATCCAACATTAAGTTGTTTTATGCGCGAAAAGTCGTTTCTCAATGAAATTGAAAGACAAAGGACAATTGGATGCACATCCTTTTAAAACCTTAATAGTCGAGCGCAAGATGCGCACAGTGTTCAAACTGACTAGTGGTCTTTCAACTTAAAATACTTTAATTAAACTTGAGATGAAGGGACAAATGGATGCACATCCATTTGAAACCAAAGTAAACGAGCTTTTGACGTACACCTTATTCAAATGTTTACTCATATTCTACAAAGTTAATTTTCATAAACATGACGACAAAGGACAAATGGATGCACATCTTTTTGAAATCTTGGGTAAATGGGCGCTTGGTGCACACATATCTCTAACGGTTACTCGACTCCATATAAAATCAACTCAACTCATCAAATTCTTTTTCGACTTAACGCGACTTTGAAAATCTATTTATAAACAAGTACGCTTTTATTCAATTCGACGGGAAACAATCAAATACTCTAGCTTCCAAGAGCGAGTAGCAAGCAAAAGTTTAACCCCTCAAATGCAATCTAAGCATCACTCTTTAAAATCAACCAACCAACACGTGGTTTTCTTCTTAGAACTACGTGGTCTTATCCTTATTTCACCAATGGATACGTAGGAGCGGGATCCAACGTCACGTCAGACTTAATAAAAAAAACAAAATTGCATAATAATTAGAATATCGCAAATTAACTAATATGATGCTAACATTAATTCTCAAAACTAATTAAAATAGTCTCATTGAGTACAACGGATGTGAGGAGTCTTAATACATTCTTCTTATATAATTGACTCTCGAATCCGATCTAGATCGACAACCATTTTTCTCTTCTTTCGCGAGTTTTATCAATATTTTCTCTATCATATTTTGAATGTGGGATACAATTTTTATCAATATTTTCTCTATCATATTTTGAATGTGGGATACAATGCACTGCAACAGACAACTGACGACTCTATTATATATATAATTGGAGTGGTTAGAAATCGAATACACATGCACTATTATGTGATTGTCACTTTGCTCAACATCGTGCACGCTGGTAATACTGTAGTACTATTTAAGTATGAATCGACATTGTATGGATTGTTCCTTTTCAATTTTAAACATGGGAAAAGTACATCATAATTAAATTAGTGATAGTAACATGAAAATAAAGGTTAAATTGTTGGTTGTTTGTGAGTAAAAGGTTAATGAAAGGACGATCATGTGATTTTCTTTTTTAAAGGTTTGCTTTTAATCGATATCCATGATGATGATACATTCTTTTCAGGCCAAACCTTATTAAGAAGCAAAGCCGAGAAATTTTTTTTTATTGATTTTATTGATTAATGTGACTAAGTCACATACTATTGTACAATGGTTAATTAGTCTATTATAAATATATAAAAATTAAAGTATCTAAAAAAATCATAATTATTCTTCTAATTATAAATTTAAACTGTTCTAATTTCAAGGTTAAAATCGACTAATTGTACTTTTACTAAAATAATATTGATTTGACAATTAATACAGTTCAGTTGGCACAATTACAAATTTTGTTGGATTTGATATTATTTTTAATTTCCTAATTTCACTAATTATTTCACAATTATTTATTATGATTATCATGTTTCTCCAACAACAATTATACATACACCAGAATCTGAAAAGGTAGCTGTAATATTATTGGAATGATAATTTTACGGTTTACAACCCACAAAATCTCTTTCTAAGATGGAACCATTTATTTTTCTTCTAAACGATATTAATATGATTATATATAGTTTAAATCCTAATGAACCAAAACCACTACAGTCTCCTCTAGCGATGGAGTTCTGTGTTGAAGCGGTGGGAACAAGCAGAAGCTCAAATTCTCAATCAGGTTTTGAATTCGATTTTTTGGAAAATTAAAATCAATTAGGGATAGTGAAAAATAATGATGATTTGTTGTAGGTTAGGATCCTTCATGAATGGACGAGGTTTCCTTTGCGTTTGAATGGTCACGTTGTTATCACATCCCATGTCGCTTCTGTTTTTCCCAAGAATGTGGTGGGTAAGAATTATCACGCCTATCAGTCATGTTAAGACGATTATTATTTACATCCATAATGCAAGATCCAAATAACACGCGAAACTCTACCAGGAACTGAAGTCGGTGTTGCTCTGAAAACACGCAAAAGAAATTCCAATTCAGGAGATTCACATGTTGGTTCAAACAAAGATGTTGGTCCGTTTACAGGAACCGAATGATTTATGTTGTACCAGTACTCATGTCAAAGGCGTTAAGCTTCATGTTGGCCTTACTTCAGTTGCTTTAAGAAACTCCAAGTTCCTCCATCAAACAACCAAAAGTCACTTTTTTCATTACTATCAATTAAGAAGTATAATAATTCTAAATATATTTGCATTCTTATCTATACCAAAGATTTCATTAAGCCTTTTCCTATAGAGTATTTCAACTTTCTACAATTATTTGGTTAACAATGAATTTCTCATACATATGCTTACACACATGTATTAACAATGAATTTGACTTTTTATTGACATTTGGTTAATTTATTTTGACTTGCATAGGGATGATATTTTCAAAGTTGTCTTTCATTTCAATGCTCATAATAGACTTGAGGTTTTCATCTGTTGTCGAGTTTGTTATTCCCATTTTCCACTTTTACTTGAGAACTTTCATCTGCAGTTTTAGTTTCAGCAGTGATATTTGAAGGATGTTGGCTCTAATAATATGCTACATCATCTGATACTTGAGGTTCTATTTCAGTATGTAGATCATGTTTAGTTTGGGGTTCAAAATTTGACATGGATGCATCTGGTGGTGCAGATGCAAGTGGTTCTAAGACTATTTCATTTAATTGTCAACTTTCTGGTCAATTAAACTAACAAACTATATTCTTTCTTTTGGTATTATCTTTCCTTCTATAACAAACTACAATTTTATTTATATATCATCTCATGTTTGAATGTAGGTACTGTGCATGGACCGTTGGAGTTTTATGTCAGTGCACAACTGCATTTTGGAATGGCTTAAGAGATTATGTAATACACGATTGCTTGGGTTAGCTAAATGAATTGGGTTTGTTAGTGTATTGTGGAACATTAGTGATTTTTTTAAAGTTCTTCTATGTTATAGTGCGTCTATAGTCATTGTTTGACAACACTGATTATTAGTTAATTGATAAGGTGAAGCATACTTACCTGCTCTGTAAACTTTATTTTACGTGCGAAAGTATGCATTGTTTCTGTTGTAATGTTTGTTTGATTTATGTTGTAATTTTACTGCATTATATGATAACTTGTATTCGTTTTTATACTCTCATTTCACAAATTGTTTTATAGATTGGAAGAGAGGTATTGGATGTTGCTGCTCGAATTATTCAACCCGACGTGACAACTGATGAATTTTGTATTGAGATTTGGAGATAGAAAAAAGTTAATAATTGAACTATATAGATACCCAATGGAGGCAGTGTCATGGCTGGTGGGCTTATTCCCAAATTTTGTATGCAGTTGCTCTTATTGTGTTGCAATTTGCAGCTAAAATATATGTTTGGGTGCTGCTATTTGTATATGTTGCTTCATACTGTTTTCAAGTAAACTCTGTTTTGTATTTTATGTAATTACAACTAGACCATTCTCTTTAGATTAGTAAAAGTAATATATACACACACACATCATGTTTTTGGTATTTCGTATAAAATTTCCCTTTGATTTAATGGAGCTTCAAAAGGAAGAAAAAAAAGAGAGAGATAAGACTCAGACTCTACACCTTCCTAAAGAGATTAGGAGGATTGGAAAATTAAGTTCAAAGAAATATAATAATAAAATTCTTAATTATATTGTTTTAAATATAATATTCAAGCTCTAAACCAAGGAAAAACCTTAACTGGATTAGCTATGTAGATTGTAGAGCAAAATTTGCTATTTACAGCACCAAGTTAGGCAATTCTGGAAGAAAAAAACATCTTGCAAAAGCAAATTACTATAAACCTATTTTAGAAATCCTCTTGTGGATATGCACATGATGAGATCAAGATCTCTATACATTTTGAAGACATCCCACTTAAGATTAAAGCATTGAGTCTAAGTACTGATAATTATGTTTTCTGGTGAACTCTAACAAGCTACCCTACATTCTATCAGCAACACCAACAAACAAAGCCTCTTTGTCAGGGATAAAAGATATACTAGAAATCTCACCAAATATATCTATCTCTTGACTGTGTGAATAACCAGATTGTGAATCAAAAATATGGACAAAGTTAACTGACTCAACCATGTCCAAAAACCTTCCATCTGATGTGAATCTTAAGCCTCTTATTGCACCTATTCTTCCCTTTAATACTTCTAAGGACTCCAAAAGATTTCGTATGTCCCACAACCTCCATGTTCTGTCCTGATTCCCGATAGCCAATATTTGTCTATTAGGGTGCTAAGCAAATGAGAAAGAATAGTCCAAGTGCCTTTTAGGTTTCCAGTGATCTGAGAAGTGTCATAAAGTGTGTGTAAAATCCGAATATAAATAAAACATCAAGGACAATGCGATACCTAAAACATTTTCAAATTAAACTACCTTCCCCGTGTTAGCATCGGCTATCAAGCCCTCAATATTGTCCCAAGAACAACTAACAACTTTCCATCCGGACTAATAGAAGCATTATGCAAAAGTTACAAATTGTTATAGCAAAGTGTTTTTATTTCTTAGAGGTGAACATTAAAATATTAACATAAATATTAGTCGATGAAACTCACATTGACAGACCAATCATACTTTAAACAACCAAGATAAGCAAAATTCTCTGAATCAAAAACCCGAATTTGGGAATCATTATTTGTTGCAACGACCCACTGAAAAGAGATAATCAAGTTAAAAACCAACCAAGTTAAAATAATAAAACTTAAGCTTCTGCATCTAGATGCTTACCTGGGGTTGCTGAAGACATCTACAACATTGGATATAGCATTATCATCTGTAGTTATTTTACTACAGAATGCAACTTCAGAATGATTGAAATTCTGATACAAAAATAATTCAAACTCGTTAAAAAAGGGACCTTCTTAAGTTGTTATAGTTTATTATTCAATTGAAATAAATCATGATGTGCCCAAAATGTCCATACCTTGCAAATAAGCTCGCCATGGAAACCACTTGCCACCAACCAGTTCTCCTTAACAACCATGGTGCTAAGTTGCACTCGCGAGATGGGGTTGGCTAATCCATAATGCTTCTGCTAATGAAACATAAGGACAATAAAATAAGATGACAATGAGAATAAAAGAAATGGATTTCGTTTGATCGAATAAGTAGCTACGTACAAGGGTTGGAATAATCGGTTTGGCCACATTAAGCACTTCTTTACTCCTTCGTAGTAATGAGGACCAATGCATCACAGAGTAGTTTTGCATAAGGTATACATCATGCTTTGATGTTGCCCACAACAGATTCCTCAGCTGCAAGACACGTTGATAGCATTAATATCAACACCCAAAGAGAAATATATAATTATAAAACAAGATATTAATATCATTCTAGCATTAAACATGATCCATAATTAGAAAAACATCTATGAATAACAACGACTACTCTAAATGTTAGAGGATAATTGTGTCATGTTAATGTGTTGGTACATACGATTGTTACTGAATCAAGTTTGATGCAATATAGGTTTGTACTTTGCCTTATGTTATTCGTGTAAATAGAGATATCTGCCAACATTATATACAACAAAACCTCTTTTTTTCCATTTCCTTATTAGCTCCTAAAATGTAAACACTAAATATATTCCATAATGACTCACCTCTACTAAATTTACATTCCTAAGTAACTTCAATCCTACTTTTCTTATATGCAATTGACATGAATTACATTTGTCGAAGATAATGGTCTTAAAAGATAGAATGATAAAAGATTAAAAAAGTCATTTTTTCCTTCTCTATCTGTCTCTTGAAAAAAAGGTAGAGTCTAACATATAGGAGTGTAAAAAATGATGAACATCAAGCATGAGTGGCTAGACTAATGATGATGACAACGGTTTTTGTAGAGACCGACAGAAATGAGAGAATGATATGGTTATAATCAAATATAATTGTCAGAGTAATCACAGCACAATCAATCACACGGGATCATAGAAATCAGAAATTATTAATATATGGAAAAAGTTATGATATTTAATAGGAAGGCTAAAACTAAATATTAAAGATTTTATTCAATTATGGAAATGATAAAATTGATAATTTTTATGTGCATGATTAAGGTGATTAAGGTGATGATTATTATGTGCATGATTAAGGTGAGCATATCTAAAATTTGTGAAACACTTACAAGATTGATGAGAATACCCTATATAATTGAAAGTTCTTAGAATTTCAAAGTTTGATAATTAATTAGTTTTATTTTCCTTATATATATTCACTATAAAATTAATTTTTTTTGACTAAATTGTAGAATCTTTTCAATAAAATTCAATTAATATTAAAGGTTTAATACTCTCTTGTTAAGTATATTAATTTAAGAATTATTTTTATTTTTCATTTTTTATCAATTTAAGAGTTCTAGATTGTTCATCGTAATGAAAGTCCTTGTAAACATAGATTTATGGGTAGATGTGAACGTATCTATAAAGTATCACTTGTAGACCGTTCATTTTAATGTCAATCTTTTACATCTTTCTTTTCCTGTTGTTTTATATAATTGAAGTTAGAAAATCTGATGTATAGTTTATTATAAATACATATCAACAATTATAAGTTGTAACCATATGAATGTCAACTAAATGAATAAACGAAAATAAATTTTGTAAATGATAATTTAGTAGACATATGATATAAATTCAGACAACACTCGTGCGATAACACATATTTTCTACTAATACTTAATTAAAATTGACGGAAACCTCGTACCACCAACCAAAGACTTGTCACATTAGAATAATAGTAACATTATTATGGATGATGTAGTAAATAAAAAGTCAATTTACTATTATTGCGTATAGATGAATTTGTAAGTGTTTTTTTTTTGTATTGATGATATGAAATTATTTTACAATAGAGTTTTGTTATTCTGCTATGTCATATCAGTATTTTAAAATTAAAAGTATGATTTAGCGAAATATATAATGGTTATTGTTTGATAATATTTTAAAAATATTTTATAGTGTCAATAATTTTTTTTTCATTTTTTATATTAATAAACCTGAGGGTGGATCACTATATAAGTCGATCATACTCTTGTTATGAGTCAAGATTCATTAATTAATGATGTTGCTCTCGCTCAATATTATAATGTTTTCTTGAGTAGCATATGCAAGTCAAATATTAGGGTCAAGATATGGTTAATATAACATTACCCATACTCCTTTGGTGCCCTTTAAAAGGAGATACAAATGCTATGTAAATCACTTCACATAGCATTGGGCCATATATAAGTTTTAATGATGGATTTAACCTGTCGTTCTTTTCGGTTATATCTATCATTTCATATATGTGTGTTTTTATCGTTATATTTTTGTTTAAATTATTGATTTCATAAAATATAATTAAATATAAGAAATTTCAAAAATATATGTGAAGTTTTAAAATTTTCAATAAAAAATCATAATTTTCACGAGTTTTTATTAGAAATTTTAGAAAATAATCAAAAATTTTAAAATTTTCAATAAGAAATTAAAACTTTCACGAGATTTTATCAAAATTTCCATTAAAAATTCTTGAAGTTTTTTATCAGCAATTTCGAAAAATATGAGCTTTTATCTAAAATTTCGAAATTTTCAATAAAAACTCTAATTTTTTTACTAAAAATTTTGAAATGTATGTTTTCATTGAAAATTTCAAAAAATCCAATAAAATTCATACTCACAATTTAAAAATGACCTACTAAAATTTTGATATGTTACTGAAAATTTCTTTCCCACTATTAACTCAAATTTGTCTATAAACAATTAGAAAATTATGAAAATATATGAAATGTGAGAGGTATACTTGAGTGACAAATTAAATTCTCTAGATCGCAGGAGTAAAGATCATACACTATTATTGATGGACAAATTCAATAAGAAAATCACTAGTTTGTTACAAACAAACACGTGAAAATATGAGGTTGAGAATCTGAGAGAAAAGGGGCCCTCGGTGACACATAAATGTGTAGTGAAGCTCAAGCATTGGACAAATTAAAAATGATTTGAGACATCACACCAACAGCAACATGTATGCTTGATTAATAGGTTCCTCTCATAAATTCACAATAGTTACTTATCATTCCAAGGGGGTGTAAATAGCATATTTTACAGTACCACTTTGTTTTCATCCTTCGTTATCTTTGTAGTTAGGTGAGTAGCTAGCTGTATGTACATATGGTATCCAATTCTATGAACATTTAAGGACCAATGTAGAGAGAGGACAT